CAGTCGAAAAGGCATCGCGCGAAAAGGCATCACGCTAAAAGGCATCACGCGAAAAGGCATCACGCGAAAATGCATCACGCTAAAAGGCATCACGCGAAAAGGCATCACGCAAACAGGCATTACGCAAAAAGGCATAACGCTTCTGCTTGTGTCTCTACACGTAACCTCCCTCTCCCACCATAATAAAGGAGAGGTGTAGCTGCAGAAGTGAATTCCTGTTCAGGAGGTTCTTGTACTATCGCCAATGTCATACGAAGAGCGCCGAGCCCTTGTCCGCTATCTTGAAAAATACTCGCCGATCTCACCGATGGGAAAGAAATGCAATCGTTTTCGATTCCATTGCTCACTCATGATGAAGGCACGCCTCCTGTACCGAATTAAGACCTTGCGGGGAGGCAAAGACGGAATGTCTCGGTCAAAAACTGTTTGAGAAGGCTGTTATCTTATAGAAGACACGTTTAAGAAGAGTTAGCTCCGGATTTCATATAATTTTTGTAATTGTGCCTTTTCGTGTGATGCCTTTAAGCGTGATGCCTTTTTGCTTGATGCCTTTTTGTGTGATGTCTTTTTGCGTAATGCCTTTTCGTGTGATGCCTTTAAATTAAGTGTGATGCCCTTCAGTGTGATGCCTTTTCGCATGATCTCTTTAAGCGTGATGCCTTTCGTGTGATGCCTTTAAATTAAGTGTGATGCCTTTTCGCATGATCTCTTTAAGCGTGATGCCTTTTCGGGTGATGCCCTTCAGCGTGATGCCTTTTCGCGTGATGCCTTTTAGCGTGATGCCTTTTCGCGTGATGCCTTTAAGCGTTATGCCTTTTCGAGTGATGCCTTTCAGTGTGATACCTTTTAGCGTGATGCCTTTCAGCGTGATGCCGTTTAGCGTGATGCCTGTTTGCGCAATGACGATTTGTAGAATCGGCTAGTTGCCATTCAGCTTTGGATTGATGCATGTACAATTTGGATGGTTTGATATCAATTACTGAGTATTGAATTTTGTCATATATATACCTCCATAGAAATTCCGGAATTTTTTTGGCTAAATGGTAAGCACCCATATATTCTTGGGCTTTTTTCACCGTCACAGCCTCTCTCTTGCAAGTACCGTTGTAAATAGCATGTAAACCGTGGGTAGTAACAATTCTTATAGTGGGGCCGTGCATTCAGTCATTCAATCATTTTCAATCAAGCATTTTTTATTTCTTCATAACTAAACATTTTACAGTTGGACTGGCCCGCGCATAGCTATGCCAGTCATAGTTACAAGCTTACAAATGCTTTTTTTTTGGAAAGACATTGGAAAGACATAGCATGTGACTACCTTTGGATATGAATATTTTTTAGTGACTACATTTACAAGACCACTGTTTTACTGAAGTGTGAGCGATCCCTGAAAGAACCAAACTTTACAGTAGTGAGCGCAAAAGACAGGGCAGAATTTGTAAGTGTAAATAGAAAAGGTATATTAATGGATCATGATTTACAATCGACGCTCTCGAAACTGGGCAAATGGCCTTCGTTTCAGTTGATCATAACCAAATTCATTTTATCGTTCCCTAAACCAGCTAATCCGGGAGGAAAAAACTATGCAAACAACACAACGGGAAGAAGCTCCTCACAAAATTTCTTTAATAAACGCCCGGGGCGTTTATCAAATGTTTTTGGTGTAAAGGGAGGGGGGCGTTATATAGATATGAGCCGTTTATTAAAGAGGGGCGTTTATTTAACAATTATTCCATGAGCGCGCGCGCGCGTTGGATATGAGATGGTAAATAGCCAACGAGGCCGAGGGCCGTAGGGCCGAGTTGGCTTTAACCAATCTCATATCCAACAAGCGCGAATGGAATAATTGTTTTATTAAATTCGGTACTTGGAAATTATAGCTTAATTTTACAAAACGACCGGAAGTTGATGTGGCAAAAACAAGAACGAGTGGGAAATCACGTGACATGCACGCTGTCTGTAGAATTAGTTGAATGAACAATTTGAAAGCGAAGCAAGCGAATTTGCGGAATGAAATTACAATCAAGTAGAAATCAAGGGACGTCTATCAAATGAAGGAGGTATAACCTTGGTCAGAAAGTTTGAAAAGCGTTCAAGTTCGAGTCATGGAGAAGAGCCGAATAATTGTGTACTTGCACGTTGTCGTTGTAATAATGATGCGGAAAACTTTGATCGCCACGTGACACAGACGTTTCAGGATTCCCTTGCTTTGAAAGCCTTCACATTTCGAGCTGTATGCGTGGAGCTCATTTTTGGCCAGATTCAGAGTCAGGGACAGAATTATTTTAGCGTCAGATTCATCTTCAGAATCTCCGAGGCCACCCTGATGGTTTTTCGTGTCTGGTAAAGAAGCGGGCTTCGGTTCAGCTCAAAACACTCAACTCCTTGAGGTGTTTTTCGCAAGGACAGAATTGTTGGCGCTGGCTGTCGTTGATTCTCTCGTCCACGTCAGACATAAAAGAGACCGAGATGAAACTAGGTCGTCCTCTGTACCTGTGCGGGATTTTTTCTTTCGACCAATCCGAGCTCGCTCAAGTCGAACGGTCTCCTCGTCTGCTCATTGGAAATTGGTTTCTTATGGACTACGCCGGCAATGATGCTTGTTTTACTGAGGCCTTTTACAAATGCTCTAATAATTTATTTGCTTGGTCAGAGATATAATGGAAAACGGTTTGTTGTGCGGCGGCGTGCGAAGGAAATGATCAATGGCGGCTCTAATGGATTTAATCGATGAACTTTTGCAAAACGTGCCATCTTTCTTCTCGCAGACGTGTAAAAACACTTTAAACAAACATTCAGTTCTTCTTTTGACATTTCTTATATCGGTTTCGAAAATTTAGTGCCACCAGGACTAGCAAGCCATTCTGTTAAGGTACACATTGTTTTTGTTACATAATCTTCATGAATGGGTAAAATCTCGACGGTCATATTTTGATTTGCAACTTTTAAGGGAAACTTAATGTATACCTACCGTTAAATAATCCAATCTCGAACTTTGTGGCTCTTCTGTTGTTACTGGGGCGGAATTATCCATAATTTCCTGTATTTCTTCTGTAGATAGCTCACCGAATCTGTTTTTTTTTTTTCATTTTTTTGTCGACGAAACTTGGCTTCGCGCGAAAAAGTTTATGCCGAGCGACATTTACCGCATTCATTTCCATATAAGGTCAAACGCAGGTATAATGGCTGGTAACCGAGATTCAGTGAACCAATCAGAAAGCTAGAATTGCATTATCCGATGTTAAGAATTTAATAATTCAAGTTAACCGTAACAACTACTGATAAAATCCACATAAAACTTCATAGTTTTATATCAGTGCGGCGTAACCAGCAAGTTCATAGTTTTATATCAATGTCCTCGTCGTCATCTGGATCATCAGTGTTTTCACAACTGGTTTCGTCGACATCCGACTCAGTGATGAAATGAAAGGAGTTTGGGAGGCTGGGATCATCCAGCACAGAGAGCTGTGCTTGTTACTGTTCCGATCCCTCTTCACTTGGTTGGCCGTTCTCGAAGCCGTGAAGCCGTGAATCATTTAATCTTCGGAGCCATCAACTGCCAGATTCAATGAACAAGACTTGACAGACTTGACAATCACTTCTGATAAGAGCCGTGACCAGGCGTTCAGTATCCATTGGACGATGGTCTTCCTTTGTGGCTGTCACCTGTTTCGAGCTTCTGTATATTCCTTTACACCACTTGCCATCCATTCATCATACTGCGCGGTAACTAATACCTTGAACGGTTTGTTCCAACTAGCGTCTGGCGCATGTACATATTTTGTACAACCAGTGGGGACTATGACTTGATCAACGTTAATTCTGACAAGTGCATCTTTCACACTTTGCATCGGTGGCATTCATACGTCGATTAAAGGAAAACACGGGTGTTCTGTTGCACTTTGTAATAATCATCGCACTTCGTAATACCTGTCGCACTTTATAATAACACTTGTCGCACTTTGTAATAAAATAGCTATCGCACTTTGTAATAACAAGTTGTCGCACTTTGCAATAAGCTTTAAAATTTCCTTTGAATCGGATGTTTGGTAGAAATTATGACTTTACTAATCCCTCAGGGCACGAATAAGTTCTTCCTTGATATTTCGCTCTGCATATTAAACTAAGGGGACGAAAGAAAAAAAAAAAACCGCGTTCA